GGAGCACAGGAACTGATCTTCAGATGACAGATAGTTGGCAGCAGCCATATCTACACACTGAGGACAAAATTAAATGTGAAAAAAAAAAATTTAAACGCAGTCTTGAATCTCATTTGTTACATCAGATAAAAAGTATACAGCTAATGCACACTAGTGAGTCATTACTCATACATAATTATTCATTACTCACCAGGAATCAAAAAATGTTGGATTGATTAAAAATGCAGAGACTGTGCTGTGTTAAAACCTTTTTATTACAGACAATTATTGTCTGTACGGTGGACTTTGTCACGCTCAACTCTCTATTATCAGACTCTGTTCATGTTTCATTTGTCTCAGCTACATAGGGCTGGGCAGTAAGGCTGTTGTTGTTAAATATTAACTGCTGGCAGTTAAAGATACTCCGACTAAGGAGAGGATGGCTATAGTCTAACCTGTGAAACCCACCTTCCCTTCGACGACAAGCTTAGAGTTACGATCATTCAGATGTGGTTGCGTTAGGGGTTAGAGGTCAGGTTATTGAATGGAATTGGTTAAAACCCAATTAACCAGAAAGGTCGGGCACACTAATTCATCTGCTTCTTCTTTTTGAAATCCTTGACACCAGACTAAGCTAAATCAGCTGGGCTTCAAGATGGACAGTTTCCTTCAGTGGAAACCGTATTTCTACTTCATAGTACCGTTCTAACTCACTTTTGGTACCTCTACTTCATTTTCATTTTCAAATGCAGGTAGTACCCCCTTAACATAGAGCTGATCATAGAGACGCTATTCTATTTACAGCCACAATGACAACTAATCCCATTTAACTGTGGGGATAGATTTTCTGATTCTCTTCATCATTCATTCTCTCCCTAGAGGCAGGCTGCTTGTGTGGCTTAAAATGTAAAAGTGATTGAAATATTAGGAAAGTCATTTTAAATTGTCACTTGTCTGACATGTCTTTTTGACAAGATCCATTAAAAAAGTGAACAAGTGTAACTTCCTCTTTCAGTGGTGATTTAGTTTGGTGTTACAGTTTGTTGAAACACAGTATATATTACAGTAAGTTGTACTCACCGGTGTTTGGCAGAGGCTCTGCTGGATTGTTGAGAAAGACCAGACGAGCTCAGTTGAATTTGTCTTCAGAGAGAAACAGAGAGACTTGTCTCGACTGCTCCTCTGCTGTCGCTCTGACAAACTTTCAGTTTCATCTGAGCAATGTGATGCAAGAAACTCTCCTGTCTTTCCAGTGCTGCTCAACCTCTTATCGCAGCTTGTTTGTGAGGTTTTATTGCCTCCTTCAAGTCTGAACATTATTTAAGTGATATGACACAAAATTAATTTAATCTTCCGGGAGCAAAGCAACAATAGACCTTCTTTTATCTTTTCAGTTGTAGAATTAACTTTTTGTTTAAGTTAACAGCAGCAGCCTCTTTAAAGTAACTTATAGCTCTGCAACAAACCCACTGTCAGTCCAAAGTTCAGCTTAGTGCTTATCCTGTGTTTTAATCTTTTTATGAATCTGTGGCTCTAAAATAACTTCCTTTTGGTGTGCTTGGGGATGACACTGAGCAAAGGGCTGCATGCCGGATTCAAACCAGGGCCGCTGCAGCAAGTCCGTACATGTGTCGGCAGCTCTACCCACTGAGCTAACCAGGTACCCTTTAGTGTGCTTTTTAATAAGACAAAACATATGTAATGGCTTCTGAATAATTATTGATCAGAAAGAAATAGAGAATGTAAATGAGTTCAAATATCTGTCAATAGAAATAGAAACTAACCATAACTATTTTGATTTGTAAGATCTAGTTCACCCACAAAGGCCACCAAACCATGCATCCCATGATTCTGTCACATCTTTCTTATTGTGTTATTGTCCGGGGCCAGGAAACCCATTCACACAGTAAAAAATGCAAAAATTGTTCACAAAACTCATTTAAGTGAAAAACTATTTCCAAGAAACACAATAATGAATCTGGTTCACAGTTTACTAAACTATGTTTGAAATTGTGTCCAAAACTCAAAGATTTAAGTTTTTCCAAAGAAGAAAAGAAAATTCTTCGCAGTTTAACTGTATCTCAATAAACACTGCTTATATAAGATATGATACTGAAACAATATAATCAAAAGGTTAAAGATTATTTGAAAGTTAAAGGATTTTAAAAGAAGAAGAAAAGAACAGAATTGGAGGATCCAGAACTAAACAATTTAGTATTTGAAATGGCCGAGTTGCCCGGTATACTTATTTGAGCATACAATAATATATAATATAAAAAAACTAAAATGCCACCCAACTCTATACTCGGGATTATCTTTCCTATGGAGAGCCAAACTGCACACCAGCTATCCAGCCAACAGCATCTCGTCCCATTCTCCTGTCCAATTAAACATCACGCTCCAAATTAAATCTGCCATGTGATTTTCATGACCAATACATTTGAACTATAATTGCCCAATCAGTAAAGGAGACTAGATAGTATAAAGAGCTGCTATTTGACAGCTGACACACAGTGTTGGTGTTTTCCCCTGCAGCTCAGATGACTTCAGCAGATAAACTATCGACAGGTTCGATCTAAAGACAAGACCAAGATACTTCTTTTTCAAGTTCATTACTTAAAATAATTTATTAATCCCACAGGGCAGAAACAAGGGCCACCATTACACACTGGACAGAAAGCAGGCAATGAGAGCACAACACCATGTTATATATGACATCAATATGTATGGATGTTGGTAATGTTGGTGACATTAACACAAATTATAGAGGTACCATTCAGTTCTAATTGTTATACAATGAAATTACTCAGGATGTCTCCTGGTATGTATGAAACAGTAAACTCTGTTCAGTAATAGACCATCTCTTGTTTACATAAAATGACTTTCTCACTGTATCACTGAAGGAATAAGAAGAAAATACAGTAATAACAGAAATATTTTCTCTTTAACAAACCTACACAAAATATTAATTCAAACCCCTTTTATAACAGGGAACTCATACATGTTCTTTGTCTGAATCTGACTCTGAATTTGATGACACCCACTGAGAGACACAATGACAAAAATGGTGACGCAATGAACCAAAATATTCAGATGAAAACAAAGGTTAACCTGTACATTACCACTGAATATGTACATTTAATACATAATGGCTGTATCAAAGCGCGGCCGGCTCGCCGATAGAGGGCGCCTGGCGGCCGAACTCTCACCACCGTCCAGTGGGAGTATATATATATTATCCTCAAATAAAAATCTGTGTTAATTTACATGCTCAATAATTTTACTTTAGAATGTGTTTAGAATCCTCCAAAATGATCATTTGCATTCACTTTCACCATTCAACGTGGTGTAGCCTAGTAGCTCAATAGGCTGTCTTCCCTGGGCTCCAGTTCGCTCAGCACTACCAAGTGCTGGAATTTAAAAGCCCAATGGTTCCCGGTTTTGGCTACGCAAAAAAAGTTAATATTTTCCGCAAATCAGCGTCGTCAAATTTTTATGGTTTGGGGGCTTCATGAAAATATTTCGGCCCAATTTGTACCAAAGGTTGACTAAACACGTTAGCGGACAATTTACCTTCAGAGAGGCATGGCGAACGTCGAGTGCATTAATGTAGTCGTGGGAGTTTCAGCTAGCTCCCAAAATTCCAGTTAAATCTTCTACACCTGTATCCCCTTCGAAAGAGAACAATTAGCGAAGAAATTAATGTAAAAGAACTTGGACCAGACAAGCCAGAAAGTAATATAACCCACACAAGGGGGGCCGCGAGAAAAAGTAGAAAACCTACAAGAGAAACCTTTTCCCGAAGTTGGTATCGATCAAGGCTTGATAACTAGCTGTGGGTACGCCAATGCAATCTTTGCTTCACTTGCTTACTGTTTAAAAAACAAGTTGCTTGTGACAGTTTCGTGAACACAGACAGGGGTGGACAGACCTGGAAACATCATGTCGAGTGTTTGTGGATGCCGGGGGGTGGAAAGGCAGGTTTTAAGTTGGATGAGGACATGAGCATGAGTGCAATAGTGGGCGAGAACTCTGTTGAGAGCTGCAGTGCGTGGATATGGCGAGATTAGCATAGCCTTTGGGACAGCTAGGATCCGAGGAGGCACCTTGCGATGTGCTCGATAGTAGAAAGCCCGTGATTACGAGTGAGGTTGTGATACAGGAATCGGACTAATTGATTTTTTTGTTTTTGTCAATAGATTCATTGATGTAGTGATAAGTTTTTGTGGTTTGCCTGTTAGAATGCTTTTGTACCAGTGGATTCATGGAGATGGAGACTTATTGTAGGTTCAGACAATTTGGAGACCAACCTGGCTGAGGAATATTCGCGGTGAGTACGTACATGCGTTTGAATCTTAATGGCTCAATCGTATCTAGACAATTAGTAGTTTGGGGTGGAATAGGATGCACTCTGAGAAATAGTACATAGGTTCTTGCCACTGAGTTTTGGATTGTTCCAATAGGCAACTTGTCAAGACGCGTTGAGGAAATTGCTATACTTGTTAGACTGCGATCGTTGTGGAGTCAATTCTCAGGAGGACCTCTGACAATGAACTTGATACTGCTGTGATATGGAGAGCGGACAAACATCGCGTAACTCAATGGATTGTGTGTAGACACTATGAAATCCTAGTGGCGAGAAGACGAGACCAAGACACAGTAAGGCATACATCCCACAAACATCTGTCGCGAATCAGCTTGGTGCTTGGGCTAGGGGTACATAGATGCCGGTCTACGTCAACGAAACATCTGTCGAATGAGATGGTGCGCGAACCTTGTTTCAGATTTATCGCGGGCTTTCCTTAAATGCGACCGTTGATTTTTTTTGATGGCCTTATACTGCATTTATTTGTTTTGTAATTTGTTGCTTGAAAGTCACCAATTTTCTTTTTTTCTGTCTGGGTTATACAATGTATAAGCACGGAATAATTCTCTCTTAGTTGTTCTATGATTTGCCTGTGCATGCACTGTCTAGGTGGTGTGTGCGGGAGCTGTGCCACACGGTGAACCGTGGTGGACGTAGGCAGTTTCAAGACTCTACGAGTTTGGAGCTTACTACATTTCACTTATCGTTTTGTTATGACGCATTCGAGGGTTATATCGTACTGGTATTCGTCATGTCGAAAGGCAGTGGGCAACATCTCGCACATATTCCCATGAAGGATATGTAAATTCGGTGGGCCATTGGAATTTTTTTTATTTTTGTCATTACTATTTGTATATTATTCAGAAATAAGAGTATGATAAGTGAAGCTATCTAAAAATGTAATTAATTAAAGAATTTTTTGTTCATTAGACAGAGAGTTCTGATTTAGGTGTAAGAGATTTAACATCCAATATGCAAGTAGGATGTAAGACGATTACCAGGCAGTGCTGGAATGAAACTGGTGGCACAACCCCGACTCCAGGTGCTTTGAGACAATAGGCTCGGATATGAGAACTTTTACAGCGTGCCTGTGAGACATAATGATCAGTAGATTAAACTAGATCCTAAAAAAGAAAACTGGTGTAAAGTGCTTCCAAACCATATCGAGACAAGGAGACCCTGATGCCATATCTAAGAGAGAGGCCGGGGGTTGTAATGAGAATGTTTGGAAGATGAGGTTTTTTCTGTTTCTTCCTCGGCTTATTTCACAAAATCATTCCACAAATTATTTCACCATCATAGTATTTAGGGGACGCAAATTGACCAAAATAAGCGAACAACAATATGAAGTCTATGTGAAACTTGAAATTTACCCACACCACGAATTTTATCATTTGTGAAATGATTTGGGGATCTTCCAGCTGGGTCACCCCTAAAATGCACAAGAAGCAGAAAATCACATTAACAAAATTCAAACTTTTCTGGGGGAAGGACCCCAGACCGCCAAAACATAAAGAGCCCCAAACCTACAGTAATTTTTTCGAACGCCACCACCATGTAGACATTGGCTGTTAACCAGCTGCAGAGAAAAACATAGACTGCTGTTTCATCGCAGGGAACCAGAGGGTTTCACTCACCAGCATAAACCAGGCCCTATTCAGGTAAGGCTATGATTTTTTGCAATATTGGCGAAAACATGCCTTATGTAGCCTAAAACGATAAATACATAATCCACATGGCTGAAGGCAACAATAGAACTTCTCCATAAATATCACAATTTTCGTCAACCCAATGTTATATTATGAATTATTTGTGATTGAATCTATTTTGATAACATTGACTAAGCCAAAACCAAACAATAAACACATAATTAATAGACAGTTCCTGGATTTATTTTGTATCTTCAGCAAGTTGGTTTCTGATAAAGTAAATGTCCAGGGTTGGAGAA